TATATATATTGAAGATGTGTTCTTTTAAATAGAGTCAATCTGAACTTGTCAACATCAGGCATAGCCTAAGTAAACACACTCGTTTAAAGGGCACAGAATGGGAATACTTTAAGCAAATTGATATTGCTAGAACCAGGGCATGTAGAGCAGGTCGTAACAAAATAAGTAAAATTCCAACTATTTAATATTATGAATGATGAATTGCTAAAATTTGGTGACTGGTTAATTGCCAATAAACTCTTTATTAATACTCTCAAAATAAATTACATTATTTTTCATAATGTTCATAAAAATCCAACTCTTCAAAATGTTAATATATGTTTTCGAGGTACTTATATTGAACGCAAAAGCGAGACACTTTTTCTAGGGCTTTACATCAAGGAAAATCTAAAATGGACCACTCATCAAAATTACATTTCTAACAAAATATCTAAATCTATCAGCATAATAAATTAATTAAAATTGTTCTTTCCATTAAACATTTTAACTTCACTTTATAACACTCTTTTGCTCCCATACCAATATTGTAACATAATTTGGGCATCTGATTATCGTTCTAATCTTAACAACCTTCTGAAACTACAAAAACGCGCTTTAAGGGTCACCACTAACTCACACTACTTAGCACCTTCAGAGCCACTTTTTAAAAAACTTCAACTACTCAAAAGTTATGATTTGCATAAATTGAAAATTGCAAAATTCATGTATGAGCTACTTAAGGGCACACTTCCAAAAACCATTAACCGAATGTTCAGTAGCAACAGCCATACCACTCAATATAATTTAAGAAATACTGGCAGGCTATACATTCCATTTGTAAGGCTCAATAAAAGTCAATTGTTTGTGACGGTTGCAGGACCACGGTTGTGGAATAACCTCCAAATTGACCCTTCCAATTTTACTAGACTTTCATCTTTTAAAAGAAATCTAAAATTACATTATCACTGTTTATTTCCGTACATCCTATTTATTTATCTTGTTTATCTATTTATTTATTTATTTAAATATCTTACTCATTTATTTATTTATTTTATTTTATTTTATTTTATTTTATTATTTTATTCTTTTTCCTTTTTTATGGATCCTCTCGAGACAAGGTTTTTCCTTCTAGACTGGGATCCTTACAACAGCTTTTACCTTTATGTATGATATATATTTTTTTTTTTCTCAATACTTATGGAATAATCTGTGCTTTTGTAGAATAAAAGGTGCTTGCACCAATGAAAATGTAGATATCGCTGCGATTACGGAAACGTGGGAAAACACCCAACTATCTGAATACAATATAAGTTGCTACAAAAACTTTGGAAAATGTAGGAAGAATAGAAAAGGTGAATAGATTATGATATATGTGAAAGATAACATTACAGCAAAAGAATTAATTGAAATTAAAGTTCCGGATCAATTGGATGTAAACTGGATCATGTAAAACACAACAGGTTCCCAAAGAACTTTCCCTATGTAATTGTGGGTACAGTTTATATACCGCCAGGATCTGAGAATACTGAAATCTTGATTGAACATTTATTATTATTTATTAACTATTGACTCTATTAGAACCAGTAATAATAGGTCCCAGGCAGGTATCATATTATTGGGTGATTTTAATAGAATTGATATTAGTTCTCTTTTTCTTGGGAACGATTTCAAGCAAATTGCCCCAATAGAGAGGAAGCAATATCAGATTTATTCATTACCAATATGTATGACATCTATAATGTTCCCGTAACTAGGTCTGCATTAGGCTTGAGTGACCACCTGTGTGTTTTCATTTTCACCAAAGTAACAACTACTAATAACAACATGAATTTGAAAACTATACAACCCATGAAAGATTTAAAACTGCCAGCTGTTTGGACGCTGGATAACACAAGTGGACTGGCAGGTGTTTATAACGAAAATTATCTTGAAAAGAACTAATGCCTTTTACAGTGTGACTTGTGGAATGAATATATATTTCCTAAAAGGACGGTTAAACTTCGCCCAAATGACAAGTGTTGGATGACGGACCGTATTATATCCCTTATTGCAAGATGCTTTTGCTAAAGGTAACAATCTGTTCAGGAAAAGACTTCGTGATGTAATTATTAGGGAAATTACTAAAGCTAAGATATGATACACTAATAAGAAAGTAAAAATACTCCAAAAGTCAAACCCTGGTGGTTGGCATAAACAGATTAGATCACTAGTTCTGCTTGAAAGAGCAGACTCCACCATTAGCGTCCCTAACATTCCTCCAAACAGTCATGTAGAAATTGTCAATGAAATTAATAAATCATTATCCTGTTTTTGACAGCTACATGTCCTAACTGATGTGAACAATCTGCCGGAGTGGACTTCACTGACTGGTGAAGTACCACAAGGTACCATCCTTGCACCGATTATTTTCTTATGTATTATTAACGAAGTCTTGAATAATAATTTTTATCAAAATATATATATTTGGAAATATGTTAATGACTTAACTCTTGGTGAGAATAGATTATTCAGAAACCCCAGTAGACTCCAATCAGCTCTAGATGTGTTAGATTCATGGAGTACCACCAATAATTTAACATATAATCCTGAAAAGTGTTAATCTCTGCATATTCATTTTGGTAAAAGTAATCCAGCACCTCCTCAATTGTGTATTATTAATTGAACGTTGTAATTAATAATACACAATTGAGTATTATTAATTGAACGTTGTAAATCATGTAAAGTTGTTGGGAATAAGTTTGCAATCTAATCTTAAATGGGACACCCACATTAACGAATTGATTTGTAAATCAAATAAAAAGGTTTTCATGATTCGTAAACTTTAAAAAGTTGGCCTAAATCAACAAGAATTGGTTTCTGTGTACAAAAGCTATCTTTGCCCTACCATAGAATACGCATGCCCAGTTTGGAATGTTGACTTGACAGGTAGTCATATAAACAAATTAGAAAGAGTATGCTGGATTGTCATGGGTCGGGAACACACATATTACGAGAATGCACTCACACTCTCAACTTCAGTCTCTTTAAAAGATATGAGAAGCAGCTTATGTAGATACTTTGCAGTCAAGTGCTCCCAGTCTCCGAACTATAATTCCTGGTTTAAAAGAGCCACTTAATGTGGTTGCACTTAGGAAGCAGAATGAATACCAGGGATATAAATGCAAAACCACTCGTTATTTCAATAGCCCATTACCATACCTCG